TTGGCATTTTTCTCTGGATTTTGCAGGATGACCCACTGCCTGTAGTTTGGAAATTACTCTTCCATTGATGTAAGCTAAAACTGCCTCTGCGGGTTTTTTGCAGCTCACATCATGCTGCTGGCTCCTTTTAGCTGGCCATCAGCTCCTATTCAGAGATCTGTTTGCCATTATTATTGCCAAGCCAGGAATCCCTTCTGTACTCTATAGCCCAACATACAAAAAAAAAAAAAAAACATAAAAAAACCACTGCAAAATACAAACTAGAAACAAAAATTAAAATAAGCAAGAAAATGGGAAGAGAACACCTATCCGATCTTGACAAATATAAATCACCAGGACCCAATGGATTATATCCCAGAGTTCTGAAGGAGCTGGCAGGTGTTATCTCAGAACCATTGCACCATATCTTTCATAAATGCTGGACCACCAGGGAAGTACCTGAGGATTGGAAAAGGGCTAATGTGGTTCTCATCTTCAAGAAAGGAAAAAAAAGCAGAGCCAGGAAACTACAGACCAATCAGTTTTACCTCAATACCTGGGAATATCCTAGAAAAGATAATCAAAAAACAGAGCTGCGAACAACTAGAAGCAAACAAAGTTATAACCAGTAGCTAGCATGGGTTTGTCAAAAACAGATCATGCCAAACCAATCTTATTTCATTCTTTGATAAAGGGACTAAACTAGTAGACCAGCGAAATGCTGTGGACGTAGTATACTTAGATTTCAGTAAGGCATTTGATAAAGTAGACCAGAATCTATTCCTTGGTAAGCTAGAAAAAGGTGGTATAGACCAGCTGGCAAACCGTACTCAACGAGTAGTCCTCAATGGCTCTACATCCACACGGAGAGAAGTGAGCAGTGGGGGTCCCACAAGGCTCCATCTTAGGCCCAGGACTCTTCAACATCTTCATCAATGACTTAGATGAGGGAATTGGAGGGGAACTCATCAAATTTGCAGATGACACCAAACCGGCAGGAGTAGCCAACACCCCAGAAGACAAACTCAGAATCCAAAAAGATCTTAAGCTTGAACAATGGGCCTTATCCAACAAAATGAGTTTCAATGTGGAGAAAAGCAAAGTTTTACATTTAGGCAGGAAAAGCCAGAGGTACAAGTACAGACTGGGCGAGACTTGCCTTAAAAACAGTAACCATGAAAGGGACCTTGGAGTCCTAGTGGACGATCCCTTGACCAGGAGCCAGCCGTGTGCAGCAGCAGCCAAAAAAGCTAACACAATCCTGGGTTGTATACGCAAGGTATTGGTACCACTTTATAAAACCCTAGTAAGGCCACACCTGAAATACCGCAGCCAACTTTGGTTACCATATCACAAAAAAGATTTTGAAAGTTTGGAAAAAATTCAGAAAAGGCCAACTAAGATGATCCAAGGCCTGGAGACTAAAATATATGAAGAACGGCTGCCGGACTTGGGTTTGGCTAATCTAAAGAAAAAAAGAAATAGGGGAGACACGATAGCAGCGTTCCAGTATTTGCGGGACTGCCCCCAAAAGAGGGGGTCATGTTATTTACCAGAGCACAATGGTTGGAAACTGATCAAAGAGAGAAGCAACCTGGAATCAAGGAGAAACTTCCTGACAGTGAGGACAATTAACCAGTGGAACAGCTTGCCTCCAGAAATCGTGGGCGCTCCATCACTGGAGGTTTTTAAAAAGAGGCTGGACAGTCACTTGTCTGAGATGGTATAGATTCTTTTGCTTGAGCAGGAGGCTGGACTAGAAGACCTCCAAGGTCCCTTCCAGCTATTCTATTCTAATTACTCAGCTATTTGATTTCTTTGTCCCTAATCTAAAATGCTGCATTTGTCTGCTCAGTGTCATTATTTGTAAGCGCTTCCTAACTTGTCCAGATCCGTTTTGGTTGTCGATGGTCTTCCCCGTCTTGTGCCGCCTCAGGGCTGCTCCAAAGCTGTGGCCGGACTGGGAGTGGCCGAGCTTCGCTAGAATTGCACCTGCCTGTGTTATGGGCCCATCTGGGGCTTAATAAACAACAGCCAAGTTCCCCAGTACTTCTCCCTAAAGGAAAGCCAACAACCAGATGGCTGGACTGCTCTGCCAGATTGTTGCCACCTCACTAATTCAGCTGTACCCTCCAACAAATGACAACACCAGGGTTGCCGTGGTGTGGAATGCTGCCATTTGGATCAGCCTCCTGAGGCGTTTCACCTGCAGGCACCAGCAACTCCGAAGACAGAAGGGAAGATACCATCAGATGCTCAGACAGCCCGCAGAAGACCTGGAGGATTTCCTGGCCACTCACAGCTCACCGAGGCTCCGGCTCCCTCCATGGCTTAAGTCACCACCTGGCCACTGGGGTGGCTGTGAGGAAGAAGCCACGGAAACAGCTGATTGCATCTCCCATGAAGCAGCAGCTCCTTCTGTCCCTGAAGTTTCATTCTGCCTCCCCCTGGCCTGCAGACTTTCCATGCTCTGTTCAGCTGTGGAGCTGTGCAATCAACACGCTTGGCCTCTCATAAGCAACTTAGGGTGACACACAATGAAAACGACAAAACGTTAAAAAAGGATCTGTCATAAGCGGTAATAAAAGACTGAACTATATCCTGCTGAAGCAGTCCAAGAGTCAGACCCATAACACTGGCCTGCTTCCGAGGCCTCCTTCTGCCCCATTGCCTGGGGAGCGCCCAGGACTCTGCAGCTTCCAGAAGGGCAGAGGGGCCCGGTCAGAGCTTCCGCAGAGAGGCCGCTCCATGGGGCCGGGCCCGTCTCCTACCTCCCCCAAGAGCCCCTGGTTGCAGGGACAGCCGAGAGAGAGAGAGAGAGAGAGAGAGAGAGAGAGAGAGAGAGAGAGAGAGAGAGAGAGAGAGAGAGAGAGAGAGAGAGAGAGAGAGAGAGAGAGAGCAGCCAGAAGCTGGACTCCCACACGGGGGGGGCTGCTCCACCCGTGGAGCTCATTGGCCAGGACCAGATGCAGAGGGCTTCCAACACACAAAGAGGCTTTAAAGCACACCTCTTACAAGTGCTTGTTGTCCTTTGGGCCAGACTGATCGTTTAGTTTTGTTTCAATGTACATTTTTATTATTCGCATACGAATTGTTATTGGAAAGCTGGCATTTAGTAAATGGGACTTCTATGATGGGTGGTTTAAAAGCCACAGAAGAAGTACCAGATCTTGAGGATGTCTGCTCAAAAGTTCCTGAATCCACCCGAGGATCAAACCTCTTGAGGAACATCTGGATGGATCTCTTCAAGGGAAATTCTGGGAGTTTCTCTGGAGGGCTGAGCATCCTTTCCACGTCTCAAGCAGCTCTATTTCTAAAAGCCTTGGACAGAGACCCTTGGCAGTGGGGGGGGAGTACGTGTTGGCCCCCAGGAGGATGGGGTGGGGGTAGGGCCTGGGACTTGCTCCTGGCTTAAGTGAGCAACTGAGGTGTGTTGGAAAAAAGCTCCCAGTGTCATATGATGGGGTCCAAGATGCCTGAAGCTCAAAGATCTCAGGGTGAAGATGAGAGCCGTAAAAAGGGCCCAGGCTGTGCCAGAACCGTCAGGAAAGGGTCAGGAATGAGGCCGCCAGGACGCCATGATGCCCTTGCAGAAGTTGCCGCCATCTCCCCTACAGGGCAGGAATCAGCAAACTGAGACAGCAATGTCTGATATTGATGGGGGGGGGGGAACTGAGGTGCGAGTCCAGGATGGCTGAACCATCGCAAGGGGCAGCCGGTGGGTCACCAGGTAAATGTGCACCAACAGCACGACTCAGCTGCAGAAAAGGCAAATGCCATCGTCCGGGGAAGGCAGAGCCTGGAAAAAAGATATGGTTGACTTGCCGTCTTCAAGAAACCGGAGGCAGAATCGCTCTGAGAAACCAGGATTGCAGCTGGATCTTTGAAAAGTTGCTCCAGAGCGGAACTGGCTTTCCAGGAAGATGCCCCCACCTTGTTCAAGGCCTTAACCAGAGGCTGGAGGACCTTCTGTCTGAGAGGCAGTAATGGTGGGTTTTTGCCCTGGGCAGAGGGTTGGGCTAGATGGCCTCAAGCTCCCTTCACATGCTTCCCTTTGAGTTTCCTCTCCCTCCCAAGTGCTTTAGGGCATCTCTTGACAAAATGGAGCCCCCTAAAAAGGGGGCACTGATGCAACCCACAGGAATCATTTCAGAGAAATTAACTCTGACTGAGTGACACTACGCTCCACCCCACCCCTGCTTTTCCCTGCTCCCTCTTGCAAAAAAAAAGAAGAAGAAGAAGAAGAAGAAGAAGGAAAAAAAGGAAGAAAGCAAAAAATGTGAGACCTGTGACTTTTCTACATGCTAGAAAGGGGAACCGGTCAGGATGGGCCGGGCCTGGGTGGGCAGTGCCTGTCCAAAGGGCAGGTGTGGGGGAGGGGCATTGTTGCACACTGAAAGATGGAGGCAATTCCCCCCCTCTTTCCTGATGCGGGGCCCCTGGAGCTGATCTTTCTGGACCTTGGACCTGGCCATCTGTTCCTCCCCCAGGGAAGCCCCATCAGTGAATGCACCAGCCCCTCCCCCCAAGCCCAGACTTGATGCTGCAGGGAACCTAGGGGGTGGAGAGGCCCCCCCCCCAGCCCAGCTGCCCTGTCTAGCTTTGCTCATTTTTGATCAGCCTTTCAGCAACTGGGGGGAGGGGAAGGGAAGGGGTGTGTTTTGTTCTTGCTCCCCAAATGCTTTGTCACCAACCCTGCCGGAGGGGGGGGGCTTTTGCGGTCCCAACAATTCCCTGGAAAAGCTCCTATACGGAGCCCTCCGGCTTCACCCCTGGCTGGTGCCCCTCCCCCCCCGGGTTGATGTATTTGCTCTAAGCCTGTTTAAGTCAAGGGGGGGGGGGAAATAATAAGATATCTGAGTCCCAGATTTGCAAGGGGTGATTGAAGCCGGTGGGGTGGGGACGGCCTCTGCCTGCCTGCCTGCCTGCCTGGGTTGATGGTCCTTCTTCTTTCTCCTCCTCCTCCCCCTCCCCAGGTGGGCAGCCGCTGACCCCTCCCCGCCAGCCACCCGCCCAACAAGATGCCGGAGCAGAGCAACGACTACCGGGTGGTGGTCTTCGGGGCCGGGGGCGTGGGCAGAGCTCGCTGGTGGTGCGCTTCGTCAAGGGCACCTTCCGCGACACCTACATCCCCACCATCGAGGACACCTACCGGCAGGTCATCAGCTGCGACAAGAGCGTCTGCACGCTGCAGATCACCGACACCACCGGCAGCCACCAGTTCCCGGCCATGCAGCGCCTGTCCATCTCCAAGGGCCACGCCTTCATCCTGGTCTTCTCGGTCACCAGCCGGCAGTCGCTGGAGGAGCTGCGGCCCATCCACCAGCAGATCGTGCAGCTGAAGGGCGGCGGGGAGGCCTTCCCCATCATGCTGGTGGGCAACAAGTGCGACGAGACCCAGCGGGAGGTGGAGACGCGGGAGGGGGAGGCCGTGGCCAAGGAGTGGCAGTGCGCCTTCATGGAGACCTCGGCCAAGATGAACTACAACGTCAAGGAGCTGTTCCAGGAGCTGCTGAACCTGGAGAAGCGCCGCAACATGACCCTGAGCATCGACGGGAAGCGCACCGGCAAGCAGAAGCGGACAGAGAAAATCAAGGGCAAGTGCAGCCTTATGTGAGCGGCCGGCCAGCAGGCGCCCCCCACCGCCCTTCCCCCCAGCTCACCGTCCATCGCCTGGTCTCCCTCCGGCCCTCCGCCTCCCCTTCGTCCACTGGCGCCCCCTCCCGGCCTGGCTCTCTCGGTGCTCCCCAGATCCTACCGCCTGCCCGCCTGCCGCTCTGGCCCTGCCCTGGACTCCCTCCCCCCAGCAGAAGCCGACCACTTGGACTCGGGGGGGGGGGCTCAGACGGGGGCGGTCAGGCCTCCCTGCCAAATGACATTCTGGCTGGACTGTGGCCAGCCCCCTCCACTCCCACCCCTGAAGCCGACCTCGGTGGGAAGAGAGGAGAGAGGAGCTGCCTCCACTCAAGGCCCACCGTTCCTGGGATGGGATGGGCTGAAGGTGCCCTGACTGACTTTGGCCTGATGACAGAGAGCCAGTGGTCCAGCCTGCCCTTGGCCGGGAGCTACAGAGGACTCTGGATTCATTCAAGTGGGGCCCTTGGGCGACGATGGCCCTGCCAGGACTGCACAAACTCCTGTGGGGGAGTCAGACCCCCCGTCCCCCTTGCCAGACCCCAGCCCACCTTTGCTTCATCACCCAGGCCCTGCTGGATGCCACTGAGGTGGTGCAGGGCCCCAACGGAGGGGACCACGGGGACAGCCCACCCGCCCCACTCCAGAGAAGGCCTCTGTCTGCCCTGGTGCTCCAGAGCCTGCAGGCCAGATGGGGGGCACCCTACAGGACCCCTGGCCCCATGGAAGCAGGAGCTGCCCACCAGAGCAGGCCCCTTAGGCGGCCCTCCTTCCCACCCTCCCCCCTCTCCCTCCCCCCCATTTGCCATGCCATGCCAGGCTGTGAACACGCAAGCTTATTGTGAGACACCCCCCTCATTATTTACTTTTAATTTACGGGTGTGTTTTTTTTCTGGAACAAAGCAACACAAAGAGCCGCAGCAGCCCATGTCCGGATCAGGAAGGCCAGGAAAGGAAAGCCCTGAATGGGCTGGGGAGCCACAGCTGAGCCAGCCAACCGTGGCTGGCAGACAAGGGCAGCGCTCCCTCTAGGCTGAAGAGCACGGGAGGCAGCGTGCTGGGTGACCGCTCAGAAGCAGGTCCTCTCGGGCAAAGGAGCGGGGGGGGGGCTTGTGCATCCCAGCCTCCATCTACTGGAAACCCCCAACACACTGCCCAAGTGGTGGGCTCCTCCAGAAGCGGGGGGGGGGCTCCTCCCAAGAGGTCAGTTCTTTATTTGCAATCTCAGCAGGGGTTTTTGCAAGATCTTTGGGGGTGGGGCAGTTGTGAAAGACCCAGGGCATTTTCCGTATACTTATGCCAGCTGACAAGACCCACTGCAGGAGGGCTCTGCTTCCTCTGCCTGCCCCTCCATGCAGCTGGTGGCACAGGCCCGGCCCAGCGCCCAGGCAGCAAGATTTTTCTCCTGGCTGCGGTTCCCCCACCCACTCAGGAAGGCTCCCAAAGCACAGGGATGTGGGGGGGGGCAAGTGGGCTGTGCAGAGGGGCTGTATGGGAAAGGGGGCCTGGAGGGCTCTGGGGCTGCCTGCTCCTGCCTTTTGCGCCCCTGCATGCTCCCCCCCCCAGCCTGCCTTCCCTCCCTCCCTCCCCGTGGGGGCACAGAAGGAGATGGATGGTAGCTGCTGCACAGCGCCCTCCTGTCCCCCAGGCTCCGCCCGACTGGGCAGGGCAAGTGAGGCCTCCGTTTGGACGGGAAAGGCCTGACGCCCCTTTGCCTGTCTTCGGTGCTTCGAGTCAGGCACCGGAGCCCTTTAGGTGCATCTTAAGTTGTTTCCGAAGGGATTAAGCAGCCCAGGACCGTTACAGAGGACTTCTGCCCTGGGCCACTTTGGCTGCCAGCTGCCCCCCCCTTCTCTGTCGGCGCCCCAGATCCGTCTCTGGGAGGACGGCTGGGGCCGCCCATCCCCACCAGGTCCAGGCTGAGCCTTCCGCCATGCAAGAACCGAGACTGGGCGCCTGCCGGCTACTCAGAACAGCCGCATCTTGGCATACGAAGGGGAGGGGCTGCTTGACCCCCACCCCAGCCTCAGTTCTCCTGAGATCCCCGGGCCGGGCGGGTCCGAGCGGTACTCGCAGAGGGAGGGGGCCTCCGTCCGGGGGCTGCGGGAGACTGGCTCGGAGGGGGCCCGGGATCGCCCCCGCCAAGCTGCCCGGCAGGGCGGCGCTCGCGTCCCAGCCCTCCGGAGGCGCGGTGGGGGCCTGGGACGGTCTGCCGCGGCCCCCCCCCGGGCGCCGATATTCGTCGGGGGGGGGGAGGGCAGGTCCTTCGGATCCGCGGTCTCTAGCACGTCCCCTTAGCGAAGCCGTCGGGCCGGTCTTGTTGGGGGGGGGGGCTTCTCGTGAGAGGGGGGAAGCCGCCGGGGCGCCGCTGGTGGGTCCGGTGGGGGAGCTGCTTTGGCAGGGGGAATCGCCTCCCCTCTAAACCGGCCACTTGCTCCACGGTCCGACCGGCCACGATGGGGCGCCCTCCGCCGCCCGCGTACGGATCAGCTCCTCTCCCCCCCTCCCTCAGTTCTGTACGCGCGCTCCTTGCAACGCGGTCCGAGGCCCGAGGGCGCCCTCCGGGCCGGCGGAGAGGCTCGGCCGTTCCTCCCGCAGTTTCTCCTGAGCTTGCGGGGCACCCGAATTCGCCGCGACCCCCGCGGAAGCCGTTTACGGCGGCTGCTTTGGGCCGCCGTTCCTTCTCCCGCAACCCGCTTCCCTCCGCCGCTCCCGGCCTCCCAGTGCGTGTGAATGTCCACCCCCCGCCAACTGCTGCCGCCGCCGCCGCCCCGGAGGTCGGGCGCGCGCGGAGCCTCTGCAGCCTTGCGAGGCACCGGCCGGCCGGTCAGAGGGCCCGGCAGGGGCTGCAGTCTTTCCCCAGCCCCGGCGGCGACCTCGACTCATCCACGGAGCTCCTGAAATTCCCAGCCGGCGACCCTTCCTCGCCTTCCCTGTAAATACGACCCCAGCCCGACTAGTTTTCCTCTCGGCGGCCCGCATGGCGATTCGAGCTACTGTGCAAAGGATTTTTTTTTTTAAACGGACGAGAAACTCGCACACCGACACATAAGACAAAACGACAATATTATAATGACAATGTAATAATAAAACGGAAACAAACGAACGGTACAATGTAGCCTTTATTTAGAAATAGTCTTCCTTGGATGAATAAAAACGGATTTATCCCATCCGCCTCCCCGTTGCTGCTCTTATTCTTCCGGGCCTTGGGGCGGGGGGGGAGGAATCTGGCTCGGCCAGGCGCTTGCCTGGACTGGAACCGCTCGCCAGACTCGGACAGCCACCCCCAAATTCGGGCCCGGCCCCCCGGGGGCGTCCCGGGGCTGAACCTCGGGCCCCACACGCAGCCCTGGCTGCTGATGCTCTTCGTGGTATAAGGACAGGGGGGGGGAGGCCGCCCCTCTGCCAAGAGGAGAAATGTAGGGGGGGTTGAGGAACACCCGGGGGCTTCTGCCTGACCCGTAAGGCCATTTCGGAGATCATCATTGTTCCCGCCCCCGCCGCCCCCCAGAGATCGGTCCTCGGCTGCTGCGTCGGCGTGGGGGGCGCTCCTTCCTCCCGCACCAGGGAGACCTTGGCAAACCGCTTCCCGCACCTGCTGCATTCTGCCCAAGCTCCGGAGGGTGGGCGGTTGGTTCCCCCCCTTGCAGTTGTGGTTTTCTCTGCCCTGCCAGCCTCTGATGCGCGTCTGGTGGACCCAAAGTGCGTCACGCCCCCCGTCGCCATGGAGACCGGCCGTTCCTCTGCGTTTGAGAGCTGCTCCTTGGGACGCGCAATGAATGGCGAGGAGGAGGAGGAGAAGAGAGCGGCGGCTGGGGGAGGCACTCTTCCCCCATCACGCACGCACGTGGCGCGATGGGTGACGTTGGTTCCCTGGGGGGGCTGGCATCCCTCCAATCTCTCCAGAGGGGGCTCCTGCCAGCCAGATGAGCCCAACCCAAGAGGAATGGGCGGCACCGGGTCCGGCAAAAGGCTGGCAGCTCCCAGGCATTAGCCGGATCAGCCCTCGGACAGGGCACCACCAGGATATCTCGGAGAAGGGGGGCAACACTGAGGCTCCTCCACTTGAAGGCCTCCTTCCCATTTTCCTCCAGGGAGCCAAGTCTGATCCCTTCATTTCTGCAGGGAGGGGAGAGCTAAGCCCCCCGAGCCCCTCACACACCCTCCGGGGCTATGGTGGGCTGGCACCCAAGGCCTTCATTGCAGCAGCTCCCCTCCTTGGCTGGCTGGAAGTAAAACACCGCCACGTGAAGGGGGGGTTGATTCCCCCTCCCCTGATAAAATCACCGCTGCTCTGAATCTAAAGCACCAGTGGGACTCGGCCAGTCCCAGAGCCAGTCAGAGCCCTGCGCTGCTCATCCTGGGCTGTGAGGGGCTGCTCTCCCCCCCCCCCCGCAGAGGCCTCTGTCAGCTCCCCTGCCTGGCAGCCACTTTGGCCTGCCGAAGGTGCAGCCAGCCTGGTGTCCCCTTCCCCCCAACCCTTGCAAGCTGGAGGTAGAGTCCTTGCGTGTCCCTGTGCATCCACACAGCCCTCTGGGCTTGGCGAGGGTGAGGCCTGCTCGAGGCTGAAGGAAGGCCTGAAAATCCACTTTGGCTGGTCCAAAGCAGACCCTCCGTTCTGGTGTGTCCAGGCACGCATGCAGAGTCTCAGCACCAGAGCTGGTGCGGTGCTGGATGAGGCCAGTGGTGTGATGATCCTGGGACTCCACGGGGAACCGGGGCCTCCGGAGGCAGAAGTGAAGTGCCTGGTGCAGCTAGCCTGCTGGAGCACCAAGGGGTCTAGCAGGAATCCCCACCCAGGGCAGGGAGGACCCTCTGCTTGGCTTGCTCTTCACCTCCCCCACTTCCCAGGCTCTGCAGGCCACCTCTGGCCCTCCCTTCTGGCTCCCAGGTGTGGGCTACTAACCTCCAAGGATGCATGAGGTGTCTGTGGATCCCTCCATTATCCTGAACGGCAATCGGAGGGACCCAGACCAGCCCCCTGCTCAGCGTAGGAGCCCTCAGAACATCTCGAGAAGGTGATCTTCAGGACTTCCAGCATCTAAGCACTCATCCCTTCCTGTGGCTACTGGTTCCACTGGCTCATATATCCAATAGGCTCCTCCTTCCTCCCAGCTGAGCAGGGGCCGTTTGGGCGACTGCATCTCCCTGCTGGCTGCTCTTTAGCTTTTGGCCACTGCAGGTGGTCTCCTGGTTGAGTGACCAGCTCTCTCCCATCCCAGATACTGTCCAGGTAAGGATCTTCTCCTCCACTGCATTCCCTCTTATTCATTTCAGCCTCCCCAACGATCTTTAGGAACCCTCTTTCTTTCATTTCAAGTACTAACAGCAAGTGGCTACTCAACCCTCCCAGCCGCCTCCCGCCTCCCTCCGCCAGCCATGCATCTCACCCCGCCCAGCTTCAGAGATGCCCCACAGGGGCTCCCCAAGTTAAACTGCTCTAATCTGAACAGAATAGAGGAGGAAGGGACCTTGGAAATCTTCTAGACCAGCCCTGCTCAAGCAGGAGAACCTATAGTACCATCTCAGATAGGTGAATTTCTGGTCTTAAAAATCTCCAGTGATGGAGCACCAGTGATTTCTGGAGGCAGGTTGTTCCACTGGTTAATTGTCCTCACTGTCAGGAAGTTTCTCCTTAGTTCCAGGTTGCTTCTCTCTTTGGTCAGTTTCTAAACGTTGTTTCTTGTATTTTGCCTTCTGGGGTTTTGGAGAATAACGTGACCCCCCTCCTCTTCTTTGTGGCAGCTCCTCAAATACTGGAACACTGCTATCATGTCACCCCTATTTCTTCTTTTCTTTAGCCAAACCCAAGTCCTGCAGCCGTTCGTTCTTCGTACGTTTTAGTCTCCAGGCCTTGGATCATCTCCCCCACTCTGGCCCTGGTATCAAACCCTCAGGGAACTGGAGGGAACCCCCCCGGACCTCCCAGCCCTGCTGGATGAGATCCCCCACCCCTCTTATCCAGCGATCTATCCTCCCAGTGGCCCCTCAAGGGTCAACCTGGCCTTTCGTGCCTGACAGGGGCATGGTTATTTGGACAGCTGTCAATCGTCCTCCACTGAGATGGCCTGGCACCCATCCCTGAATTCCACACGTACCCAAGGCCTCCTGGTGGTCTCGCTTCTTTGGGACCTGTCCCTTTTCTCCACCCCCAGTGATGGGTGATGGGTGTTCCCATTGCTTCTGTATCCCTATTCCTCTTATTGGGTGGCAAGAAGGCCCAGATCAGGAGGAAGCCTGGGGGGGGGGGTTGTCACTGCGGGGAGGAAGATCAGGGGGGCATCCGGGTGTCACATTTCCATACATTCAGATTTGCAATGACTCTGATAAAAGCCCGCAACTTTTTAAGGACCTATAAAGGGGGTGGAAATCAAGGGGCGGAAGGATGGAGAGACGCGCTTTTATGATGCAAAAAATGAACGCGGCCAGATCGGAAGGAAGGTCAGCGGATCCCGCTTAGTTCGCTCTCTAGCACGGTTCCTTCCCAGGCCTCCATCCAAGGACTTGGGAATTCGCAGGGGAAAACCGATTGTGGGAACGAAGCGCAAGGCCGGTTCGGTTCGCCCGGGAAGCCTCAGCTCCCTTTCGGTCCAGGCGGCCGCAGGTGCGGACAGCGCTCGGCGGGCATCACCTGCTCGCGCCCCTTCCTAACGGGAGGGCAGACAACCTTGAGACGCTGAATTTCGAAGAGGCCCACCTCGCAGGGCTGTTGTAGCGAAAGGGGAGGGGCTCCTCCATTCCCCCTCCGGCCAAGCGCGGTTTCCCGAGGCCCCTCCCCTCCTACGGACCGCCCCCATAGCCCGCCCCGCCTCCCAAGTGGCCAGCAATTGGCCGTTCGCATCCTCGCCCCGCCCCTCCTGCCGAACCGCCCAGGTCCGCGGCGGCCTCCGAAGCCCCCCTTCCTCGGAGGCGCTCGAGCGGATTGGCCCGGCGAGCTGTCGCTCAGGCGCTCAGGGCCGGCGGCCTCGGCAGGGCAACGTCGCGGGCAGAGCGGGAGGCGGCCGAGCGGCGGCGGCGGCGGAGGAGGAGGAGCCGGTGAGGCGGGCTGCGGGAGGGCGGCGGGGCCGGGAGGAGGGGTCCCCGGGCCCCGTGCAATGGGGGTCCTGCTGCCCGGGCGGGGCCGGTCCCTCTGCCCGCCGCCTCTCAGCGCCGCCCGGCCGAAGGGAGTGGGCAGCTCCCGGCCCAGCGCGGCGACCCCGAGGCAGGCGGACCCGCTTAGCGGCTGCGAGTTACCGGCCGTCTGTCTGTGTCCTCCCCGCCCCAGCCTGCGCTCTTTCCCGGGGATGGCCGGCCCCTCCTAGGCGGCCGCTTGTGGGACCCCGGGGCGCCCCCCGAGTCCTCCCTTCCCCCGGCAGAGCGGCCCGGCCCCTCCCTCGGGGATCCCGCCGAGAGCCTCCGGATGGGCCTCCCCGCCGCCCCGAGCGCGCCTCTCCGAAGGGGGCGCGAAGCTCCAGCCCTGCCCTGCCCCGCAATCCCCCCCCCAAATTGAGAGGCGGCCCCGATGCTGCAGCCCAGGACGGCATCGCCTTTTCTGCAGCCTCGTCCCACGCCGGGGCCCCCCTGGAGCTCCCCGAGACCCCCGGTCCCTTCTGCGTGGAAAGGTTTCCCCCCTCCCCATTTTCCCTACGCCGTTCCCGTTTGCCCTATTAAAATCCCCCTCCCCGAATCCTGCCTCTCCAGGCGACCCCTAAGGCATTTGCTCCCCCCCCCGCCCCCCAAGGACAGAATTAATTGCTCAGTGTCACATTCTGCCTCCCTCTTTAGCCTGTTGAACAGTCTGCCCCCCCCTTGGCCTTTCTCTCCCCCCAGGATCCCTCTCTGGGTAGCATCTTCCTTCTCTAGTAGGACCCCCCCCCAGTGCCTGGTGAAGCCGAGGACCCCTCTTTTGACTGGGCTTCCCTGATCACAAAGGAGGTCCAAAAGGATGGGGCTGGGGGGGGGTGACTTCTACTACTCCTTGTAGTATTGGTAGTGAAACGGACCCCCTCTGGGGGGGAGGTGCCCTACTTGCTCCCATCCTCCAGGTCTAGGACTTTGCCTGCCCTGCCTGGTTTCTCACAAAAAAGGGGTTCCCAGGGGACATCCAGCTGTTCCTCCCAGGCTCTCTGGTGTCTCCTGTCTGCCCCCCCCTCTCTCCCCTCCCTCTCCCTCTTCCTGCCCTTCTCTCCTGGGCCTGTGGGAACCCTCCTTCCTCAGCTGCTCTGAGTGGCAGGGATGCTGATGCTGCCAGCCAAAATGGCAACACCTGCGTGATGTTATCCTCACACAAACCCCACAATTAGGTGCCTCCGCTAGAACACACACACACACACACACACACACACACACACACACACACACACACCCTCTCCTGGATCTGTTTGCTCCAAAGAATCCTGCCCCATGGAGCAGAGGATCCTGCCCAGCTTTTCTGCGATTCTGCTCTCCTCTCTCTCCCTTTCTCCACTCTTGAAGGCCCCTCCCTCCCCCCAAGGCTGCTGCTGCTGCTGCTTCTTCTTCGGACCAGATCTCAGAGCCCGAATCCTCCAGTCATCCTCAAGGGCCCTTTGGGACTCCTGCCTCCAGTTGGCTTTCACAGTGGGGGATGGGCTGGCTTGGTGTCTGTGTGTGTGAAGCCGCCCATTTTCGAGGTTGCTTCCCCCCTCCAGGTCTGGTCAAGTATCTAGTCAAGGAGGGCTTTAGCTGTCTTCTGTGAAATGCGAAGTGGGTCCTTGTGAGTTTGAGGCCAAAGTCCTGTTCATTTTGTGCTCATCCCTCCTACCATTAAGTTTGTCCCAGGCACCCTGAGCCTGGCACCCCGGAAGGGAAGGAAATGTTGCATCCCCCAGGAGGGAAAGTCTCAAGAGCGCCATTCGATCCCTCTCCAGAGAGCCAGGCAGGAAGGGGGGATCCGAAGTGGCCTTGGGTGCTGGGGGGGGGCTCTCTGGAAGCACCTCACCCACCCCTCTGCTCTCCCTTCTCAGTGCTTTAGCTTCCTCCTCCTCCTCCTCCTCCTCTCTGCCTGAAGCCAGGGTCCAGGGATGGGACCAGCCTCTCTCTGGCCAGAGTGGGCAGAAACAAAGGCTCTCCCCTTGCCCCCCCCACTCAGGAACAAAGGCCTCAGCTGTGACTGCACAGAGGAGGACATAAATGGCCCCGGGTCCATTTCTGCTCCACTTTGCTTTTGTGGCTCTCCCCCTCCCCCTCCAGTTAGCCCTCCGAAGCCCCCTCCTCTCAGGCACTGGGTTGAGACCCTCCCTCCATCCCCAACTCTTGAGGGGCTGCTCTGAGCCGCAGCCCAGCCTGGCCAGGGCTCCCCCTGGGGGGCAGAGGCCTGGAATCAGGTCCCCTCACTCTTCACTGCCGTGTTGTCCTGTGTGAACTCAGCCGCCCTGGTTTGTCAGCTGTGTAGGTTATGGCTCCCTTTAATGCAGGGTTCTTCCCTGTTGTCCCGGGTGTTGTGTGAATCCAGCCAAGGGGAGTTTATTCAGGTGACCAGAAACAAATCCACAGGACCATAAATTTAAAGTCAAGCTCAGAATAGGTGGGTGGGGGCTTTTTAAAAACAGTTTTATTACATGAGGCATTTTTTAAATTTGTAAATGTTATAGGCTGCCCGCAATCCCCTGTGGGTGAGTTGGGTGGCTGTATGAATTTGTTTAATAAATTTAATAAAATAAAAATGGGGGCTGCTCTGCTTGTCAGAGAGAGAACGGAGTCTTTTGCTCCCGAAGGAGCCTCTGACGCAGCCAGACGCCGGGAGCAAAGGGCGAATCCTGGCCCTTCCAGACGACTCAGAGGACAGTTCCAGATGGCCTGGCAGGCAGGTATTGATGGGGTTCGTAGTCCCATGTAACAAAGGTCCCCATCCTATGGGCTGTGGCCCACTACCGGCCTGTGGTCTCTTGGCCACTGGGCCGCGTGAGTGGCTGGCCAGGGCACACGTACGTGTGCGCACACTCGCCCCCTGCCCATGCGCTGGCACTAGCTGAGCCACGAGCCTCTCGCTGGGGCCGGCTGGTTCGCAAGCAGGCACTGGCCAAGCTGCAAAAAACGTGTGCCAGCGCTAGCAGCCCCGTTTGCAGAGCACGGTGCTCACGGCCCCGTTCACGCACTCACGCACGCACAGCCACATTTGTGTGTGTGCACATGCGTGCATAAAGGTGCCTGTTCCCCCCCCCTTCCCACCAGGCTGCAACCCAGGAAGGTTGCCGACCCCTGCTGTTTAATACCAGGGAGGTGTATTCCGGTAGGTCTTTTCCAGAAAGATTTCCCTGGGGGGGGGGCTTTCCTCCCTGACCTTAGGCTGCCAGGCAGAGTTTGACCTTATGCCCCCCTCCCAGGCCCCCCAGAGATTGGGGGGGGGACTGATTGTGCTCTGTCCCGGTTGAGTTGGGAGGAGGAGGAGGGGGCCTCTCGCAAGGGGCTTCTGGGGCTGCCCCCGGAGCAGCGTTGGGTTCCTTCCCAGGATGGGGCACCTTGGGAGTAGAGGTGATGGCCCTTCTGAGCAGGTGTGTGTGTGTGTGCGCGCGCGCTTGCTCGCTCTGGAGAGGGTGGGGCAAATGGAGACCCTCCTCCCCCTCCTCCCCCCACTGGGCCACTACAAGTAGGCAAGAGGGTCTGTGTTGCCAGCTTTCCACAGTTTCTGAACTCCTGCGCAGGTGAGTGGCATTCGACCCCCTTCTTTTGGCAAAATAGTTATTTCCAAACTGCTCAGTGGGACACAAGAGGTGACACTTCGCATGGTGGGGGGAGGGTCAGTCCAAGGGCGCCTGTGCCGAGTTAGTGCAAGAAAGGAGCCCCAGGAAGGGATTCCGGCTTCTTGGAGATTCGCCGTGTTGGACTTTCAAAATTCCCTTTTCCTCTTTCTCCCCGACACAATTTCCGTTACACACACCGTTCCCTAAGAAGTAACACGGAGCTGTGTATTAGTATTGTGGATTGAGGCTGTATTGTGGCTGACCTGGTTGGGGGGATCCAGGTTTGGCCTCGGCCAAGAGCCCAGGGGGAGGGGAGGAGGAAGGACTGTTGTCCTCCTCCCAGTCTGAGTCTCCTTGAGACCCTCTCTTGGAGTTGGGGCAGCTGTGATGGGGGATGGGTGAGTTGAGAGGGCAGCTGTGATGGCTGCTCTGGGCCGCCCTCCCTCCCTGCTGTCCAGCTGCTCCCCCGTCTGACTTGCTGGACCGAGGGTGGGAAGGCCAAGGCTCAGGGCTTGAGTCTGGGGCAGCTCGACAGTTCCTGCCCCCTCCCCCCCTGGGCAAGACATGGGAACCTTGACGGGCAACAGTGGTGGCCTCCTAGATCTGGCTTTTGGCTCAGGGCAGCAATGAAGCGATCCAGGGGCGTGAAGAGCGTGGCCACCGGTCCCTTGCCGTGGTCAGATGGTCTCCGGTCCCTCTTCGGCTCGCTGGTGTCCTCCCTGCCACCCGGAAGGCCCCTGCTGGGTACCGGAGAGGCAGGGGCTCTTCCTGAGGGTCTGGTGGGCAACCTGTCAGAGGCCTTTGTGGCAGCAGCAGAGTCCCAGTCCCTAGGCTCCCCTCGGCTTCCTGAGGGGCTCCTGGCAGCTGAAGTGCCACTGGAGGCGACCGGAGGACGACAAAGAGCGAACCTGATCCGAAGCCCCGGTTCTGGACAGACGGGCAGTCTCCATGGACCACGAGATCTTTTTCCGCCGTCTTCTGTTTTCTGTGTTCCTAATAAGAGTGGCAGAGTGGACATTTCTTCCCCATTGGCCTCTTAGGGACCTGTTCCTTGCTGGGACAGGATCAGGCCCAGGAACATCTGCTGAGCTCCCGCGAAGAATATTGCCCCTTCCTGGCAGAGGAGCCCCTGAGCTCCACCTGGAGCTGGGCGAGTCCAGCGGACGTGCCTGGAGGACGGTCTGGGATGGGTTTGAGCCCGGTGGTCCTCCAGGCTGGGGACTCGGCCAGGCCCCTCCTGGGTCACTTCCAGCTCCGTTCTGATTCTAAACCTGCCCGGGGAGCAGCCCGTGGTTGGGTCCATGGGTGGCCTTGGCTCCCTTGGCAGTGCCAGGCGGCACTCGCGGTCCAGAGGGCCTTTATCCGGCTCACCTGTTGCACTGCTCCAGGACCAGGGGGACCCCCAGATAATCCCCTCAGCAGGTGGACTGGGGCAGCGCCCTCTGCAGGGACCGGCCTTCAAGGCCCCTTGGAAGCCACTGCTGGTCCAGAATGTGGCAGCCTGGGCCACGTTAAGTGGCACCGCTGATCGCCAGCTGCATTTCCCTGGCTTCCAGTTGGCCTCCGAGTGCTGCTCGCCTCTCTTAAGACCCCTCCTGGGGTGGGGCGGGTTCCCCGAGGGACCCCTTGTCTCCGAGGGCAGTCTCCCCAGACCTCTGGTGGTCAAGCCAGCCAGAGTCTTCTGGGGCAGGTTGGTCTCTAAACTGAACACAAATAAATAAGAACGGGAGATGCTGAAGACTAATTGCTTCAAAGCATCAGAATGGCATGGCCGAGGCCTGCAGAGGAGCTGCCGAAACGGCCTCTTGACCCCCAGCAAAGTCGGATGGAGCCCTTGGCGTGTGGGAGAGGCTTCCATGGGCTGGCCGGAAAGGGCTGCTCTCGTGGCTGTTTCCATTAATTTGGTCCTGCGGGTCAAGGACAGCCCCCTTGGTCCCCATGCTGCTCTTGCACCCCTCAGTGGGACAGGCCACGGGCAGGGCTGGCACCTGGGGCCCCACTCTGGTCTGCAGCCCAGCTGTGTTGGAGGCCCTGGCCCCACTTGCCCGAAGGGACGATCCAGGCCGTGCCAGAGATTGGTGGTTTGTGTCTTGAGTTTTGCCTGGCCCAGGGGTAGGCCACCTTGGCTCTTTTATGACCCGTGAACTTCAATTCCCAGAATTCCTGAGCCAGCATAGCTCATAAAAGAGCCAAGGTTGCCTACCCCTGGCCTGGCCCCTTTCCACGCCCTTCCTGCTCTTTATTTGGCAGACGTGACAACCTGACAGAATGCCAACTTCTCTCCCAAACTGTAAAATATGATTGTGTCAGGTATTTTTATCCTCCGTCTCTGGGGGAGGTGGGGGGAGAGATCTCTCCGCCTGAGGCTCTTGTCCTCAAACGGGCCGTTGGAAGCCTTTCGCTTCACGGCTTCTCCAGAGCCGCTAACTCAGCCTCAGGGTGGCTGTGGAGCACTCAGGACGGCTTCCAATTAGCGGTCAGTTTTTTTCCAAATCCTCTTCCTGCGTGACCAGAAAAGCTTGGGGTATTCTTTTTTAATCCTTCACCCGGCTTCCAGATTGAGTGAGTCTTTCTGGCAGATTAGGAAAAAAACCCACCCTCCTTTCTGCAAAGGAAGAATGGGGGGGGGTTCCTTCCCCTTCAAAGCTGGCTTCGCTTTTGGACCCGTGCCAGAGCCGATGAACCTCGTCGTCTTAATTAAAAGACCCGCGAGAAAAGGCTGGCGGTCTGGGCCTGGCTGCTGCAGTGGGGAAGGAGACTAGGTGAGAGAGATCCACAGCTGGTTCCCTTTCAGAGAAGTGGCTTACTTTGGGTCTCCGATCCGATCCGTTGATCCTGTTCAAAGCAGGCCTGGCTGGGCGTCTGCTGCGGCCCCCTCTGGAAGCCCCCCTGGTCTTGGCGACTCCTCTCCGGGGTTGGAAACCACGTCAGCCGTGTCTGCCTTCCTTCCGGGCTCACCTCCTGAAGCCCCCAGAGCACCTGGTTGCCATGGGAGCGGAAAGGACAGGACTCCCTGACTGGTTCCCGTTGAGAAAGGGCAGAGGCGGGGGTGGGGAGAGGGGGGCTCCAGAGGCTGGCCTGAGATGTGCCCTTGCCTCGTCTCAAAGGCCTCCGGGAGCCCCTGGGGCCGACGCTGAGCGTGGGAGCAGGTGGGAATTCCGTGCCTGGGAATCTGGCTCCCTCCACCCTCAGCCGGTCTCCAAGGCAAGAAAGGAAGGGGCCAAGGGGTTCTGTGGGCCCAGCCAAGGGGAGGGGAGCAGCCATGGGGCCTGACCCCTGTACGGAGCCTGATGGTCCTTTTTCCCAGAGACAGGGAAGGTGTCTCCTGCGCCCACCTGCCCCTCACTTCTGTGCTGCATGGGGGCCTTGGGGGGGGGGCTTTGGCCTTTTTGGTGGGAATGGGGACCGGCTCTTTCTCTGCCAGGGCAGGCGGAGCTCCTGCGGATTGTTTCGGATGTGTTGCCTTTCCCTAGGCCATTTAGGGGGTTCCGGGCACCTTTCCAGGTGCACCTCAGGGGCTGTCGGGCATTTTCCCCTTGGGGGACCTTGCAGCATGTCTGTGGGAAGGCTTCAAGGGGCCACAGAAAGCAGGATGGTTAGCTTGGAAACCCAGGTGGCTACCAGTTATAACTTTATATCCTTCTAGATGTTCACAGATCTGTTTTTTGATTCTTTTTTCCAGTGTCTTCCCAGGTATTGATTGATGCTAGGCTGATTGGTCTGTAGTTTCCTGGGTCTGTTATTTTTCCTTTCTTGAAGATAGGGACCACATCAGCCCTTTTCCAATCCTCAGGTGCTTCCCTGGCGCTCCAGGATTTATGAAAGATGTGGTGCAAGGGTTCTGAGATCTGCCAGCTCCTTCAGAAATCTGGGATGTAATCTGTCGGGTCCTGGTGATTTCTATTTGTCAAGGTCGGATAGGTGTTTTCTTACCATTTCCTTGCTTATTTTAATTTTTGTTTCTGGTCTTTCTTTTGTTGTTGTTGTTAATTGCGAAGTCGTGTCCGACCCATCGCGACCCCATGGACAACGTTCCTCCAGGTCTTCCTGTCCTCTACCATCTTCTGGAGTCCATTTAAGTTCACACCTACTGCTTCAGTGACTCCATCCAGCCATCTCATTCTCTGTCGTCCCCTTCTTCTATTGCCCTCAATCTTTCCCAGCATTAGGCCCTTCTCCAGTGAGTCCTTCTTTCTCATTAGGTGGCCAAAGTACTTGAGTTTCAACTTCAGGATCTGGCCTTCTAAAGAGCAGTCGGGGTTGATCTCTTCTAGGACTGACCGGTTTGAACGCCTTGCAGTCCAAGGGACTCGCAGGAGTCTTCTCCAGCACCATAGTTCAAAGGCCTCAATTCTTTGGCCTCAGCCTTTCTTATGGTCCAACTTTCACAGCCATATATTGCAACTGGGAAAACCATGGCCTGGACTATACACACTTTTGTTGGCAGGGTGATGTCTCTGCTTTTTAGTATGCTGTCTAGATTTGCCATAGCTTTCCTCCCCAAGAGCAAGTGTCTTTTAATTTCTTAGCTGCAGTCCCCATCTGAGGTGATCTTTGAGCCCAGAAAAATAAAATCTGTCACTACCTCCATTTCTTCCCCATCTATTTGCCAGGAATTGAGAGGGCCGGATGCCATGATTTTGGTTTTCTTAATGTTGAGTTTGAAGCCAACTTTAGCACTCTCCTTCTTCACCCGCATCAAGAGGCTCTTTAGTTCCTCTTCACTTTCTGCCTTTAGAGTGGTATCATCTGCATATCTTAGATTGTTGATATTTCTCCTGGCAATCTTAATTCCAACTTTTGTTTCATCTAGCCCTGCCTTTCTCATGATGTGCTCTGCATATAAGTTAAATAGGCAGGGCGACAGTATACAGCCTTGCCGGACTCCTTTTCCAATTTTGAACCAATCAGTGGTTCCGTGTCCAGTTCTCACTGTTGCTTCTTGACCCGCATATAGGTTTCTCAAGAGACAAATGAGATGGTCTGGTACTCCCATCTCTTTAAGAACTTGCCACAATTTGTTGTGATCCACACAATCAAAGGCTTTAGCATAGTCAATGAAGCAGAAGTAGATGTTTTTCTGGAACTCCCTAGCTTTCTCCATGATCCAGCGTATGTTGGCAATTTGATCTCTAGTTCCTCTGCCTCTTCGAAATCCTGCCTGTACTTCTGATAGTTCTCGATCCACATACTGCTGGAGTCTAACTTGTAGGATTTTAAGCATAACTTTACTAGCATATGAAATGAGTGCAATGGTGCAATAGTTTGAACATTCTTTGGCATTGCCTTTCTTTGGAAATATTCTGCCTTAGTTATGTGTCCCTCTTTCCATTTATCCTTTTTGTTTTTCAGTTTATCAGAGAGATCTTTGTGCAGCCATGCTGGTTTCTTGTTAGACTTCTTGATTTTCTTTTTTGGTGGTATTTTGTTGGACTGGGCTTTTATGATCATATTTTTCAGTGTTTCCCACGCTTCTTGAGTTGTTTTCCCCTTTAGAATTTTTATCCATGGAGTTCCTTAGTCTCTCTCTGAGTTTGTTAAAATCATCTCTTTTAAAGTTTAAGACACTGGTTGGATTATATTCTATTGCTTGTGTTTATATTATATTGAATTCCAGTATGACGTGGTCAGTGTGGTCCAAGGTTCTGGCAACTCCCATTCCCTCTATTACTTCTTCTCTATTAGTAAGAATTAGATCCAGTGTGGCTTTACGTCTAGTTCCCTCCTCCATCTTTTGGGTGACAAAGTTGTTGGCTACGTTGGTTAGGAATCTGTTTGATCTCCCGCTGGCTGCAGAGTTTGTCTCCCAGTTGATATCAGGGTAGTTAAAATCTCCCATTACTACTATGGAGTGTTTCCTACATACATTTGTTAACTGGTTGGCAAAGAGTCCATCTATTTCTTCTGCTTGGTTGGGTGGCCTGTAATACACGCCTATGGCGATGTCATTTCTTTTTCTTTTATATTGACCCATATGGATTCTGGGAGGTTTACATCCTCGGTTTTGTGGATTTCTGTAGAGCTGTAGTGATCTTTTGTATACAATGCAACTCCACCTCTTCTTTTATTAGGCCTGTTTCTTTTGAATAGTTTGCATCCTTCCATCAGTGCATTCCAGCCATGAGTTTCATCCCGCCAGGTTTCTGCAATGGCAACTGCATCATCCCTGCCTTCCTGCACTGTTGCTTCAAGTTCACCCTGCTTGCTCCCTAAACTTTCAGCATTTGAGTCCTTTATGGGTCTGGACCCCATTGTGTTTGGTCCTGCCTGGGGGCTTCTGGGAAGATGCGCTATTTAATGTGAAGACTCCGTTTTTTTGCAGTCCCAATGTGACTTTTGTTTGTTTTAATCCTTGAATTCTTTCCAGAGTTGTTGGTGAGTGGGATAAGGGCTCGTGGCTTGTCTCTTTCAGTTCCCTTGAACATTCCCCTCTGGTGGAGTGAGCCTTCCACCCCCTGCTCCTCCCTTGAGGTGGCCCCGGGCAGCCTCGGCTGCTGCTGGGGGACCCCCCTGTGAGCCCCACCTTCCGTCCAGATTCACCTCTGCCTAAGAGGAGCTCTCCAGGCTGCCTGGCCTCTGTTCCCCCCCACCTTTCCTTGGGCAGCTCCTGGGCTTGATGTGGGCCAGCAGGATGCGACCCATGCAGAGGGAGGCATCGTCCAGAGTGTTTGGGTGCTGCCTCCTTGCCCCGGCCAGGACTGCAAGTGACGGAAGTTGCAGTCCAAACATTTGGAGGCTGCTTCTCTCTAAAAGCCCCTTGGCCACAGATGAAGCCAAATCACTAAGTTGTGTGGCATAGGGTATATAAACAGTGCAGACCCCCCCCCCCCAGCCAGGTAGGTGTGCTGATTCTTGGAACAGGAGACACAGCCCCCCCCCCCCCAATTGATTCGTGTCTGTTTTGCTCCGGTTCTTTTAGGAAGGCAACCTCTGCGGTGCCCTCGGAGTCCGAAGGAGGGGCTTCCCTGACAGGTAAGGCTCTGCCACTCCCCCCCATTGCATGCCCCCCCCCCCCGTTCACCCTCTTGATGGCGCAGAGAGGAGACAGCCAGGCCCCACACCCTCCCCCACCCTGGCTGATGGATCCTGATGAGGTCAGCCCGGAGGAGCCTCGATCAGGAGGCTGTGGGGCCAGTCCCAGAGACGGGGGGGGGGGGAGACCCTCTGGTCTGAGCAGGCGCCTGCTGCTTTGCGTAAGGAATGGGGAGGAAGGAGAGGGGCGTGTATCTTAAATCATAGCCTCTTGGTTCAGGGGCAACGACCACCTGCCAAGGACCTCTTCACTCCCAAAGGGTGAACGGCTGCTCGCTCAGAAGCACTTGGGGGGCCCTAACAGGCCGTGAGAAGAACTTTGGGGGGGGCAGGAGGAAGAGACCGAAGTCTGGGTCCAGCAGAGAGGAGGGGGGGACGAAGAAGCATCTCAGAGGGGACCCTTCCTCAACCTCTGGAAAGTAAAGGTGGGGGGGGGAGAGCGCTTTCAGACTTGTCGAATTCTGTTGTTGTGTAGCCTCACAATAAAGGCAGCGTTGCAGCTCACGGTTCTGGTTTCCTCTCTGGACTACCTCGCAGGGCTGTCAGGCTGCTCTTGGCCAAGCAAGCCAGCGAAGCTCCTTCTAAAACTGGGCCAGACTTTCTGCCCTGCAGTCGGGGCTAAGAAAAGAAGCCCCCTTGAGGCGGGGAGTCTGCAGCCGTATCGATCTGCCATATCGATCCCGATACGTCTTTCATCCTGAGGGCAGAGTTTTTGCAAGGGTTTGACCCCCCCCCCCAGGGCCCTCATTACTTCCTTTATTGCTCTGGTTCCACCTTATCCCAGTTTGTATCAGAGTTCTAGATGGCTCCTGAAAAAGAGAGAGAGAAAGAGAGAGAGGGGGGAGAGAGAGAGAGGAGAGAGAGAGAGGAGAGAGAGGGGAGGGGAGAGACAGAGGAGAGAGAGAGAGGAGGAGAGGGGGAGAGAGGAGAGAGGGGAGAGGGGAGGGGAGAGACAGAGAGAGAGAAGAGGAGAGAGGGGGGAGAGAGAGGAGAGAGAGAGAGGAGAGGGGGAGAGAGAGGAGAGAGGAGAGAGGGGAGGGGAGAGACAGAGAGAGAGAAGAGGAGAGAGGGGGGAGAGAGAGGAGAGAGAGAGAGAGGAGAGGGGGAGAGAGAGGAGAGAGGAGAGAGGGGAGGGGAGAGACAGGAGAGAGAGAGAAGAGGAGAGAGGGGGGAGAGAGGAGACAGAGAGGAGAGAGGGGGGGAGAGAGGAGAGAGAGGGGAGGGGAGAGAGAGCGAGCGCCAGTACAGATGGCGGAAAATCTTTTTTTTTTTTTTTTTTTTGTGGGCTGCTTATAATAGGGACAAGGAGCTGTCATTGGGACTTCCCTTGACCAGCCATGGTTCACATTGTTGGCTGGCAATTTGGTGTTTCTAAAAAAATGGTTGCTGGATTTGTTTAGCAAGGTCGTTTTGAGTCTTGCTTCCCTTCGGTGCTCCCCCCCCCGTCTCCTGCTTTTAAAAAAGCCATGGGGGGGGGGGCTTCAGTGCTTGTGAAGTGCTGGGCATCCTTGTAAAAGTCCTCGCTTTCTTCGGCCTGGCCCTGGTTATCCCAGCTGGTCCCCTCGTGTCTGTCTGACACTCTTCCCCGGAAATTAAAGAAGCATCTTTCTGCATGGGTGTGTGTGTGTGTGTGTGTGTGTGTGTGTGTGTTTGTGTGTTAGTGTCATAGAGGAGCCCTCAAACACAGCTAAATGTTTTCGGCCACCTCTGGGCTGCTTTTCAGATAGTGGCGGGAGAAGCTTTGCTGAGACCGGCAGACCCTTTGGGTGACTCTGTGCTTCTCCTTCTCTTTCGGGCCTGTGAACTGGAGGCGGGCAGAGAGTGTCCAGCCGCTGAAGACGGTGGGCCTTTCCACGGGGCAAGTGACCCCCTGGCTGGGGGTGGGCTTCTGCCCCGGGCAATCTCCCCCACTCTCCGGCCTTTGCAGCCTGCCCCACGTGGGGTTTCCGCTTGTACTTATTTGGTTTGTGCCACGTTCTCTTCTGCCTTCTCCCATGAATGCTGCCTTTTGCCTCGGTTTCTTCTCTTGTAAAAGCACCACCTGCTGTAAAGGAGCCAGTTCCCCTTCAGACGGATCCCATCAGAGCGGGGCTGCCGGGGGGCTGGGAGAGGGGCTGCCAGGGTCTCGTTGAAGTTGAGAGCTGTTGGCTTCCTGGGGGGGGCGTTCACTGGGAAGGTGGTTGCGCTCCTTCAGGGGGCATCTCAGCCCCCAGAAGGAGCCAATTCCAGGCTGGGGGCCGTTGCAAGAGAGTTGTGGGTGTCTGTAAAACCTGTGCCAGCAGGGGGCGCTGCGCTCCCGTGCCTCTCCCGCCAGGTGGCTGTTCCTGCCCTCCTGGTGGTTCTGCCGTGTGGCCGGCTGTGCACCATGGGCCTCTGTGCCCCAGGCCAGACCTCCCAGCTTCTCCCACAGAAGCACGTTGGAGTGGCAGAGTGACCCCTGCGCAGAAGTCGCCCCTCTGAGCACCTGTCAGAAGCAGGAAGAAGTACTCCAGTCCCTTTCTAAGCCTGTTTTTCACCCACACAAGAGTGAAACGAGCAACTCTTGAGAGCAGCTGCCTTATTGGAGGGCTTGGCCATCCGGAGGGAAAGTTCAGTTCTGAAGAGCAGCACTCAAAGCTTGAAAAGAAAATGGAAAAGACATAATTGGCTGATTTGGGGGAAACTAAATTTGCTTCTGGAAAGCAGCAGCACAAGAGGAAAATTTCTGTGTCTGCAAGGAGACCGTTGAAGGCGGGCATGAATGTTGGGGCTGAGCCTGTGAGGAGCCCCTGCAGCAGAAGCCCCCCTGCCCTGTTAGGCTTTGGGGGGGGGACGCAAGTATCCGTCTCCTGCCAGGCAGGAAGGCCGCTCAAGGCCACCCTGATGCTGCGTGGCTGACCTCCAGCCCCCCCCCCAAGCACTGCGCAGGCATGAGGGGGTCTCTCGGAGCCTCTGGGCCATCGGCTGGGCCCACTGGTCCAGAAGCACCACTGGGTCCCCCTGCTTGGGGGGGCTAAGAGGGGTTTCACCGGAAGATCCCACCCCTGGGAAGGCAGGGGCTGTCTCTGCTCTTGGCCGCTCACATGCAGCCTGGAGGGGAAGTTCCTCTCCCCCCTTGGTGGTCTTTGGAGGATGATCCGAGGCCCCCCTTGGCTCCTCCTTTGGGGTGAGAGCTTGCAAGGGCCGTGCGGGGGTGGGGGTGGGGAGGGGGCCCTCAGGCGCTCTCTCCCTCTCCTTCTCTCTGGACTCTGGCTGTGGGCTGGACGGGGGGGGGGGGAAGGGCTCCTCTGCTCTATCTGCTTCCCGGTGAGGGGGCCCCAGGGTGGGCAGGGTGGCAGGGGTGGTCCCGGCAATTAAGAGACTCACACAAGCAGGCAGCTTTTTCGTGAACGGGGGTCTCCTGTTGTTTTGGGTTGAGCTGACCCCGTCAAAGAGGGTGGGGATGACAGGCATAGAAGGAAAATGGGTTGCTGAGGAAAGTTTTGTGGAAAATTCCCCCTGGCAGACTCGGCTGGTTGGCAGGCTGCTTTGTGACGAGAGGGCAGTGTGTGTGTGCGGGGTGTTTGTGTTGTGCCTCGCACCAAAGCAGGAAGCGGGCTCTGTAGGGAGAATTTCCTGCAGGCGGCTTGTTGCGCTCAGGGGCACCGTTGCAGCTTCCGGGGAAGGGCCGGGGCTTCATCAGGTGGCTTCCCTGCAGGGGATCCAGTTGGGCCACGTCTCTGGGGAGGGGGCCACCTGCAAGGGCTGGGCCAGCAGAGCCGGCGGCCCTTCGTGGCCCAGGGAGGTGGGCCTCTGTGCCCGTCCATTGGGCTGGCGGACCTCCGGACTGCAAAGGGGGGAAAGCCCCTGCCCCCTCGACCCCCCCTTGGGCTCTGGCAGCCCCCCCCCCGTGCAGAGCTCAGCAGGGTCCCCGCTGGGAGGGCTGGCCTCCTCCCGCCTCCCTCAAGGGCCCTGGTCCCTGTGCAGCCGGGTCTCCACTGGCTCCTCCTCAGGGGACGGCAGAGCTGCCTGGCACGACGGAGGGCGGTGCCCGGGCTGCTTCTTTCTGCCGGTCTCCACCTGACTCCGCCACAGAAGCCGCGCAGGGCCGGTTTTTGGGGAGAGCCTGCGGTGCCCCCTCCCTCTGCATGCCTGCCTGCCTGCCACGTGCCTGAAGGGTGGCCCATTCCCTGTGCCCAGATGAGCTCTGGGCTCCCCTGCCCCCCCCGTCCCACATGCCCCCGGGCAGCTCTCGGGGCACAGAAGTAGCCCTTGGAGCCTCAGCAGGGAGACTCCGTGGCCGGCGGGCCCATCACGACTCCTGCCCCCTTGGAGCCCCAGGCTCGGAAGCCGCTGCTGCTGCCACCTGGGATCCCCCCCCCGAAGAAATACTGTTCTGCCTCCCCCCCCCCAGCCACCAATGGTGACATCTCAGGATGGAAGCGAGGCCCCCGGAGGTACAGCAGGACTGGATCCCTCGCCTGGGCCCAGATGGGAGCACAAGGCTGGTTCCCCAGAAGGTGCTGGGGTGGTTTGGGGTCAGGAAGGCCGAAGGAGGACCACCTGCCCCCTTCCCCCCCCCCGTGTGAATCGCTTGGCCTCTCAGAAGGGGAAACATTCCCCCCCCCCAGGACCCTGGAAGCCAAGCCTGGCACAGGGCATCAGCTGCCAGCCTCTGGGAGGGCCTGCTCTGCCCTTCGGCCTCTGCCCAGGGAGGGGGTGGGTGGGGGAGCCGGTTTGCCTTCTCTGATCAGAAGAACTCGAGCCCTCTAAGCAAGGGGTCGGGGGGGGGGAGTATTCTGCCTGCTTGACCCCCTTGCCCAGCTCCTCTCCGGCCGGGCTGCTTTTCCCATTTGGGGTGGAAACAGTGGCCGGGGCACACGGGAGGGACGGGGCTGGCACGGCTGTGGTTGAGGGCGGGTGGCAGGTCGAGCCCCTGGCGCCTGGCGAGGTCCTGCCAGCAAGAGAGGGTCCCTCCGCTT